GCCTTCATCACGGAGGCAGGTACGAATCCCCCGCTGGTATCTCCTCCTGCCTCCTCCCTTACTGGCCCTGCCTGCTGAGGTGAAGGCAGACAATTGCTCCACGCAGGGCCTGATGGTCCAGCCTGGTCCAGCCCCAGGAAAGCACCAGGACCACCTGGCCAGCCTCAGGACCACCAGGTCTGCCCTGACCCAGAGCAGCCTTGCAGGTGTTGCAGAGAAGGCTGCAGCGGCACCACCCAAGAAACCCACCCAGACCCAGCTCGCGTGGTCACAAGCAGGTCCCACAGGCTACACAGAGATCCTAGAGCTTCAGCACTCACCCTTCCTGCCATTGCCAGCCCCAGGGTGCTTGGAAGACAGGATGTACTTCATGGAGACCACCAGCTCCCCCTTGTACTGGTGCAGACCAGCAGCATCCGCCCCAGTCTGCAAAGAGGCAAAGCTTATCACACACTGCTAGAGAGGCCAAAGCAGACATGGTCATGGCCTGGTCTGCATGCAGCACCTCCCCACGCTGGGCCAAAGAGCCTGGCTTCTCCTAGAGGTGGTTTAGCCGGCACAGATGCCTACAGGCCCTCCCCAGCATCACCAGGTCAGACTCAGACCAGATCCTTTGGGATCCTACTTTGGCTCAACCAGCTCCCTTAGGAAACCCTGTTTAGGGGTTTCCACAAGCTGCTCAAGCCCCAGCAACACCAAGGGCTGAGCCCACAGTACAAGCTAGTCAGGAGAACCAGACTTCTGCTGTTGCCATCGAGCCGCACGAAGGCCCTCGCTGCCCGGCTCTGCAGCCCGCAGCAGGATGTCCCGGCCAGTTTCCCCCATTTGTTTCCCTGAAGTTGGCTCCAATTCCTCCCGAACGGGGCAGGGAGCTGGGAAGAGCTGCACTCTTGGAGCAATCAAGCAAGCAGAATGAAAATACCTGATGGGGCAGAGACATCCCACTGCATCCCATAGGGGATATACTGAGGAGGAGGAGGGAAGCTAGGCTTAAGACAGAAGATCTACCCTTTTTTACTACTACTGCTGCTGCTATCTGCTCTGGGGTCTTTGTTTCTCCAAGATTTGATTTGGGGCAAGCCTTTTAGCAGCTGTCGGCCGAGGTCCCTGCACCCCTCTGCCCACTGAGGGCCACCCCCCAGGACAGGGCCAGGCACGGGAGGCTGCGGGCAGCAGGGCTGGGGTGGCATGGCCAGCACCTTGCCGTGCAGGGGCAGAAACTCCTCCAGGTGGCTCTCGAAGTTCCAGGCATCCAGAGGGACCTCCACCTCCCCCAGGAACGTGTTTCGGCCAAAGCGGTCGTGGTGCCAGACTGAGAACTGCAGCGTCCTTGCAAGCAGGATGGACTTGTTAATCTCGTACTAGGAAGAGAGACAGGAAAACCACCGGTGAGCAGGCAGCGCCAGGCAGGGGACAGGCTTGGCATACACTATAAGCCACAGCTCTCGAGCAGGAGAGGGGACAGGTTTGAGGAGCAATGGATGCACGCAGGAGACTGTTTGCCTTCCTTCCCAAGCCTGCTGAAACCTCAGAGTCCTGGGGCAGTGGTGCAGGAGCCCGTGCTCTCCAGGCAAGTGGTCCTCAGAGCCCGTGCAGAGCCAAGACCAGGTCTCATGGCACCCAGCCACCCCACCTCATCCCACCACAAGCAAAGCTCTGCCAGCCCACTGAGCCTCAGGTGGTCAGAGCGCGAGATCTCAGCAAACCCGGGGCTGTGGGAGCCTGGAAACCCAACCACAGTTCCCACTTCCCTCCTGTCCAGAGAGTGCCTGGCCTCAGCAATGTGCTGCCAGGCTCGGGGATGGAGCCAGCCCTTCCCACTACCCTGTGACGGCCGCAGCAGGGACCGTGAAGGGCAGCGCCAAGCGCTTCTGCCCTGGGGCCCAGAACTGCCTTATCTGCCTCTGCAGCCATGCTGCCTTGCCCTCCCACCACTGTAACCAGCCTGCAATGGCCCAGGAGCCTTCTTCACAGGAAAGGAGTGTCTGTGGGTAAGCAGAAGACCCTGGCTCTGGGGGATGCCACAGGAGTCAGGACACACATTCACATCTGCAGCTGTGCCTCCACCCCACCGTGGTACCTGGGGCTTGACACCACAGCCACATCAGAGCAGTGACCTAGCCTGGGACTGGGTTTTTCCCACTTTCAGGGCGCAGTGTCTGGACACAGGTCCTCTGCAGAACCCCTGCCTCAGGGTTTGGAGGCCATCCGTCCCCTGGTTTGTTCCAGCAGCATCCTCAGGGCCAAACGCCTACCCGGCCCCGCAGTGGGGAGCCCGCTGCGCCTCAGCCCATCCCCGCTCACCTTCAGCAGCTCGTTGTACAGGGGGTTGACGGTGTTGCGTTTGATGGTCGTCTTGCGTTTCCCTTGCCGGGATTTGTCAGGCAGGAGGTAGGTCTTCACATACCTGAAGGGAGAAGCAGGCAGCATTTCATCAGGGTCTCCCCATAACTAACCCCCATCACCCCCCTGCCCCCCAGGACAACCCCAGACCTCCTGCCTCGCCAACACCCCCCCCACTTACAGCTCCCATCTCTGGTGGGCACCCCACAACCCAGCTGAGCACCACCAGCGGTGCCACCAGCCATTGCCCCCCCGG